ATTTATGCCAGTAGTTCAAGATCTGCTTGATTAGAGAAATCATTTTTATTATCTCCCTTAAAGTGTATACTAGCAGCCAAGCTTGTTAAAATATTCTCATTTTTATAAATCCTCAAAGGAAAAACAATTTCAAAAATATATGAAATATTGACTACTGTTGCATATTATTCACCAAAAAGGATGCTGCTTAGTTCTGGTAGACTTACCGGTCTGGTCCTACTTGGGATCTGCCTGAAAATCATTGGAAAGGCTTGAGCTTTTGGATTCAGGATGTGCTTTTTCATATATATATTTTTTAACTTGTTCGTTTTTCATCAAAGAAAGTCACCTCTTCACCTTTCTTTTAATCTTCCTTCCCTTTCATTGCCTGTATCCCAGTGTTCTATCTCACTTGTAAAAGTCACTTAATCTCCGTTTGAAACTGTCCATGATTTGCTCCAACAGCAAGGCTTCTCTTATCAAGTTCATCCAAATGGATAAAGAGGAAGCTGTMTTTGACATTTTTACTGTACCAGGAGGATGCACCCTTTCCTTGGCTAAAAGCTGTAAGAGAGGTTATTTTAGGAATTATGTGGATTTGTATATATCACCTTGGCTTGGTTTGCAGGCATTATCTTTTGAGATGTGCTTGRGTACCTGCTATTGGTACATGAGTAATCCTCTTGTTTATAGCTGATTTACAGGCAGGAATATCGGTGTGACCACCAGGAGSGTCAGTCCTTGCATTGAGATCGGCGGTTGCAGTTTGTTACAAAGCTAAAACCAAAAACAGCCAAAGCTAAAACCCCAACAACACCCAGATCCATGGTATTTCCAGGGKCAGATCCTGGTTTGGGTTTGTGTCACCTCATCAGGCTCAACCTCCATCGCAGGATAGCTCCGTGAGCTCGCTGCATGGGACAAACACACATCCCTTCTGCTTGCACAAACTCTTAGCTATGGCCATTACAAAGCCTCGGTGAAAATTGTACTTACTGTAGATCATCTACCCTCATGTTTTTGTAACACCTGCATGATTCTTATTAATTCTTATTAGGCAGAGTGGATTAAGCAGCCTTTCCCCTTCCTTTTGCTTTGTGGGTTGGGCCTAAAAAATCKAAAACCAAATCTGCTGTGACTGAGCTTGTTTGAGGACAAGTGATCAGGCTCTAAACTGGCAAGAGTGTAAAAGATAATAACAGGTGGAAACTGATCTTCTAAAGATATTTCTCAAGTCATTATTAATCAAATCATCTTATAAACACAGAGTTGTGTAACTGTTGAAGAAGAAAATTGAGATTTTGAAAACTTTTTTTCTGTTAATTTGCCTGTGTAAGGTTTGTGGCGGTAGGCGGAGTTGTTTTTAAACAAAGCTACAAAACGCAGCCTGGGTGTGTGGTAAGTGGGATTATGTGAGATGGGAAGAGGTGCCTGGAGGAACAGGGCAAGGAGAGGCGTTGAAGTTTCTGYCCTGAAGAGTTCTGACCATGTGCTCCAGGAGCAGCAGGGTCTGCTGAGGTTCAAAAGGCAGGTGATAACTGGGTGTGAGTGAGCAAGTGGGAAGGGGGGTACCATGTGAAGTGATGGCAAAGCAGGTGGGTGCTTTTTCAAGGATGTGGGGAGGGAGGGCAGGTCCACCCAGGTGCTTTCATTGAGTGAACTGGTCAGAGGAGTCCCATCAACTTATAAAGCACAAAAGGACTGGGGTGAGCTATTTCTGTGGAAGAAAATCATAGAAATGGCAAATGGTCTTAATTTTTTTTTTTTTTTGGAAGTATTTTTCCCTTCTTCTGCATAGGCTAGCTCAGTCTGCATCTGTAATGTGCTGTCCCGTTTATCTTGCAGTTAATGGTCCACCGAACTTCAACCTTTTTACAAAAGTACCTTTAAAAAAAGCTCCAAGTAAAAATTTAACACCCTTCTCCTTCCATAAAGATTGTTCAATAAAATCKTAAGTATGTGTTTCTTGGTCCAAAACCATATTTCAAATTTTGCATAGATGCAGAGCAAAGACTTACTGAAAGATGGGAAGGACATTCATGAGGTGTGATCAGTGTGCAGGTTTTTTTGTCTTTGTTTTGCTTACTCATACACTCATTCTCTATGGATGCATTTCTGTGCAGCAAAAGTTTCAGAGTGTCAGTGTCTCTGCTCTGAGCCCTGCTCTTTGCTTCGCATCTTCTTGTCATGTGTATGTTAAGGGCATCCTTTTAAAAATGGGTTTGAAATAGCACATCTGTAACTGTCTCAAACTCGGCATGACCCAAGAAGTTATTTACTCCGTCTCGATGGGGAACTGGGGATCATGCAGTTGCTGCTGGAGCAGACTGCAATCAGGCTGCGTTGCCTCTTCTATCTCATGTCTCGCTTCTGTGGTCAGCCATTTATTTCCCATCATGTTCTCTAAAATCCTACCACTTTCATATTTAAAATAGTTTTCTTGTCAACATCAGTGTAAAATTTCCTCGCGAGATCAGCAAAAATCTTGTTCTGTTCAGGCCAAGCCTCACGCCACAAAGCTGCGAGTGAAGGAAGCTGCACAAGAAAAGGTTCTCCTTTCAAAATGCATAATTGTGCTTAGATTTCTTCAGTGTTACAGCAGTAACTTACAAGTGCCTTTGCACTGCAGTGATTTCCAATTCACTTTCAAAACTCCACCTGATTTGAAATGTGACAACAGCCTTCTATCCGGGTAATAAAAGACAATTCTACAGGATATCCCAGTTAAGCAGGGCACTTAGTGTTCAGTTCCTGCTCAAGAGCTCGTTATACTAAAGTCCTACAAATAATACCTGGAGTTAATTGAGGCTTAATCATGGGGACAGTTTTCATGTTCCTACTCACCAGTACAAGTTCTTTTGTTATAATTTGACCTGTAAAGATAAGTTGCGTAATTCATCTGTGCTTTGATATGATCATAGGTAAGCAGCTACTATTTTTCCTGACTCCTTTTGGGACATCATAATATGTTTTTTTTCTCCTCCTTCTGGAAGAGCTGAAGGAGATTTAAAATCTGTATTTACTGAATTAGGGCTCCATATTTTTCTGATGTCTGAGGTGTGAAATTATGTTCCAAATTTATACCAGCAATGCCATGTTTCAGGATACAAATAGCGTTATAACCTGTGGACATTTTCTGAGTAGCAGGTGCAGGGAAATGCAACTGGTCAGTATTAGTGAGAATAAAATTGTTYAATTACATTTTATTTTTAATTTTAAGCTTGCAAGATAATTGCCTCATTATGGACAGTAGATTCTGGTTTTAATATGTTGCTGGTTATTGGCTCTGCCTGTAGTTCCAGGAAAACTATAATTGATCATAAAAGTGTTTTGAGGGCTCAGAAATGGCTGGTGAGAGGAGTAGTTCAAAGGGATAAAAATGGGATGTCGAGGAAAGCAACCATTTTAGGAGAGGCAAGAACTCCTGCAAGGTTAAGTTAAACTAATAGCACACTGGGTGAAATTGAGCTTACGTTTAGAGCTCCTAAAGGCACACATGGGAATATATGAATTAGTTTAATTGCATTATTTAATCTGAGCATTTAAAATGCTTTTCAATATTTAATACAACTCTTTTGGAGCTGAAAACATTTTTTGATTTGGATTTGTGTGTTTGCTTGTTGCTTGTGCTCACTATTTTGGTTCTACTCCAAAGAGCTCTTATTTTTCCCTAGAAAAATAGTGAGAATTAATGTGTTGGGAAAAATCCAGCCATGACTTCAAAGCAAGTTGTGAATAATGAATGCAGTAACTTTTTCTTTCACTGCAATGGAGTAAAACATTAGCCAGCTTTTTATTAAAAATGGTGCATTTGTAATTATGTCCCAGAAAAGAACARTTTAAGTGCAGTTTCTCAGACCCTGCGCAGCCAAGCTGTGATGTGAATGGGCAGAGGGGCCCCATTTGCCACCAGTGTCTTGTGCTGGTTGAGCCAGCTCTATGGTCCTACTGCAGGAGCAAGGTTTAAATATTCCTGGAGGTGAGCAAGTTGGCTGTCAAAGAGCGAGCTGAAACRTAAACACGTTTGGTGTAGGAAAACAAGGTCTGACTACATGTTGCCTTAGTTTTACAGCAAAACAGTATGTAATTCTTGATGCCACTCTGTAAAGTCTATAAAACAAATTTGCGAGAAGTAGCTGATTGTTTAAAAATGATTCTGAAGAAAAGCAAGAGYTGGGATTCCCTGAGGCTGAGTAAACCCAATAAACCCTCATATTGAAGTCAATGGGAGCTTTATCATTGACTTAAACATTAAGGGGTGAAATAGTGTAAATCAAAGTTATTTAATTGTAATTTAAACCAACAAGTAGGAAACTCRTTTAAATAATTGATTTTGATCTTATTGTGAATTTATAGTTTTAGCTCYTTTCTTAGAGATAAATTCCTTGGCTAGCTTATCAATTTGAATGTATTATTTCTGACCAAAATAATAGTCAGTTTTGGCCAAAAACAAACAAAAGGGAAAAACCAAAAACTTTGGTTAAGCATTTCTGTTCCTGAACAAGTCYGGTTTTGGACTTAATTTTTGACAAATTCTTAAAATCTACCAACCTTTTGAAATTGCTGGGAATGGATGAGAAATAATTCAGTTCTGATTAATTCTTGTGTCATATATTASTTTTTAAATGGCATTGCTTTAAAGCTGAGTGTAACCAAGCTCTGCACTCACTTTATTCACCATTTGGAGTGAGTTATTGTGGACACTAGAGGGAGCACATATTGCTCTAGGAACGCAGAAGTCACTGCACAAGAAAGTTTCTAGGGATTAGAAGAATATTTTTTGTCCCGGTAAACCAGTGATCTCAACAGATGGCAATATAAAGCAATGTCTATATCATCAGTAGGCAAATGCATACATCTTGGGTCATTTGTCAAGGAGAAAATAAAGAGTATTTTGTGAGAAATCTTTTTAATAAGTAAATTTTCCACCCTTTCAAGAACCATGTTTTGTGTTCTCCAAAGGTTTGCAATACAGTAGGTTGCAAAATGGCAATTCTCTTCACAGAAACTTCAGGCAAATGGGACTTTGCAGCCAAGACGGCCGCAGGGGTTGAGAGGAGGCYGCCCCAGCATCTGCCCTGGCTTCCACCAAGCCCCCTCGTTTCCCCTGGGCTGAGCGAGTTTCTCAGCCCTCGAGGGGAACCCTGGATGAGCTGCAGAAACCTGGCAATGTGGAGGTGAAATGGAAGGTTTTCCATGAAATATATTTAAAAATGCTGTTTATACTTTACCCTCTGCTTCCTGCATTGCTAAGAAAATCTACTGCCTGGCTGAAATGAGATGGCTAAAATATGGAATGTCTTTTAGGCTGAGAAGTAGTGCTCTTGCGGGGATGTTACCATGTTATTTTACACAAAATGTGATTTCAATGTTTGTTGTTTAAAAAAAAAAAAAGGAATACCCTCAGATTTTCTAAGTTTTAATATGAATTGGACCACTAACAGTAACTGTTTTTCCTGTTTTCCCCTTAGCACTTTTATCATTTTTAACACAAAGTTCCCCATGAGCTACATCACTTTCAGTGACGTATTTGTTGTATGCATTTCAGAGGAAATATACTGCTTTTCATAAAAGAATATTTTGTCTCAGATGCAATTCAATTGGCTTGTGTTAAAATGCATTAATTTGACTGAAATTTTAAGGCTTCGGGGCAAATGCATTTTTTTTCCTGGTAGTACATGGTAGTCAGAGCCCATTTGTTTCAGTAAATCTCCATTTAAAAGCAACTGTATTCCTTAAAAAAGATTAGATATTCAGTCAGGCATCATTTTCAAACTTGGCATTCTTTCTAACATAAAATATTATGGCATTCAATATAATGAATACCTTAAAAATCTTAGTCTATTCAACTTATTTTTATTGTATGTAATTGTCTATCTATTATGTGCTTAATTAAATGGAAATAGTTCCTGCTTTTCTGTCTTAACTTGGAGATAATAAGCCTGGCTGACTAATGCCTATTTAACTTGTCTTACCTGTGCAGTGTAACTGAAGTGAGATGTGACTGTAACGTGTTTTCTCCCTCAACAAACAAGGGACTTCAGCTTTCTGATCCGAAACAGCGATAGCCACAGCCGTGACAGCCAGGGATCAGCTACACCTCWTGATTTGACACCGATTTCAATCAGTTTGATCACCATGCAGATYCTTTGTTGTCATCTTCAGGAAGCATTTGCTCATTAACGAAACATACTTTCCATTCCCATTTTGAAATCCATGGAAAATCCTGTCAGTGAGGAAATGTGCGAGTATTCTGCAGTCTTTCCCCAGCTTCTCCCTTCTATTTTTTTTATTTCTCACTTTGCCTCCAGTCTTCTCCTCTTCAGTAAAGGTTGGTCTTCTCCAYGGTTGTTCCCTAGCTCATGTTCTTGATAGGTTAATATAAACAATCTCTAAAATTACAGATGTGGTAGTTCTGGCCTGGATCAGGCCACATTCGTTATTTGTGTCAGCAGATGGGGCTCCAATGGACTTCTGCTCATTGCCAGCACTCCACTTGACTCCCTGGCTGCGCAGCAGAGTCATTACATGATGCATGACAGTCCCCCATGCTCATACATGCATTTAATTATTTGTGCTTTTTCTGTTCTATTGTTTCACTATGGACTTGACTAACTGTAACAGTAGGACAATGAACTGGCTATGGTGTCCTCAGTAAATCAGKAATCGGTTAACTTCTAAACCAGAGAGTTTCTGCAGTGGATCTAGGCTGCTGGGGGCTGCTAGGGAGCACAGTGCTGTTGGGACTCACTAAGGAGGGTGCAAAGATCTAAAGATCTGTCTTTTCCTCCCTCCTACCTAATGCCCTTCACCACCTTCAGTAAATCTCTTCCTACAGTGTGATAAGAATGACATTAGATTGATGAACTGCTTAAAACGTGTATTATTAACCCAGTTGCAGCATTTTGAACATGCCTAACATTAATGTTGAATGCCTGTAAATAAGATATACAATACCCATTTCTTATGGAAATGCTGTTTGTGCATATTTCTTTGTCAGTGAACTATTTCTCTGTATTTGTCTATCAGTCATCCGTAAATCTCATGAAAGTGGTAAGTTAATACTGAAATTCTGTTAGGGCTACCTTTAATTCTCACAAATGCATGAGCAATTTTCTTACACACAGCAAGAGCCTATCTGCATACAGAAGTCCTATTAACTCTAACAGCGGTTATTCAAAGTTAAACAAAGGCAAGTAGAAGCCTGTGTGTTTAAATTCCAACCAGTATGGCTTATCAGCAAATTAATGACTTACAAAGCCCAAACCAATTCTGCTACATTTAATATTCTACAACTGCAAACCAACATGTTATATACATTAATCAATTTGTCATAAATAGCCCCCTATTTCATATACAAGCGAATAAAATGGACAATCCACTGCATATTTTATTCATAAAGCAATATATAACAAGCAAATGGACTTTGATGTAAGCATATTTTATTTTGAAAGTGAGAGATTAAATCTATATGCTTGTTATACAAATTTATGTAACTTGTATGAATCAATATGTGATATATAACCTATTTTAAACTCTGACATGTTTGGTACTTCCTAATTACTTCAATTTTATGAAAAGTTCTTGGTTTTAAGAGAGTCCTAGAAGCAACTCAGATTTTAATTAAAAGTTTTACCTTGTTTTTCAAAAGGTCATTTTAGCCAAGGGGAGATAATGTCCCTTTATAGTAGCACATCTTGCTTCTGTTCCTAATTGACATTATTTGCCCACTGCTGAAGAATAATTCATGTTGCTGGTAAGGGGAGAAAGAACGTGAAATTTCAGTAGTGTTATTGCAGTGTTTCTTTTTTTAAGAATAATATTTTTCTGTATCAGAAGGTTCATGTTTTTTCATTGCCCTATTARGTAAGTGATGTTGAGAAAGAAAAGCATAACATTATTCTTAATTGGTCAGAAATAGGTGATATTTTCCTAATGAAGGGAAAATGACTGCCGGAATGTGTTTACTTAGGAGACAGTAGTGTGCACTTTGGCCCTCTGGAAAATTAAATGCTGAACTGTGTCACCAGCCTTCAGCTTCCAAGGCAGTCCTGGAATTTCTCATCTATTTCCCTTTGGTTAGCAAAGTATAGTGCCCAAAATGTTCACTGTTCATCTGTAAATCCCACAAAATAGGTCCACAATTTCACTTGCGTGGCAAAATTCCAGGCCCCTAATCATGTTTGTTGCCCTCCAGTAGCTCCATGTCTGTCTTGTAATGGGGAGCCCAAAACTGGATGGTGAAGGGGGTAGATTCCCAAATGCTCTCGCTCTCCTTTGAGAACCAAGGATCCTGCTGAGCCCTATGAATTACTGAAATCAATGACTTCATAATATGCAGAAGGTCAGATGTGTTTTTATAATACAGAGATGTATAATTAAAGTGTTACAGTGCATGTGTGATGTTTAAAAGATCTCTTWATGACAGACTGTTGTTCCCCGTAATCTATCAAGTAGTTAATTTTAAATACTAAGAAAACACATATCCATATGTATATTACTCTGGAAAGTTATTAAGTTGCTTAGGACCATGATAATGCATATTTTTAATGTTTTCTCTGCTTCTGTTTTCATATTAGATGGCTTTTAGAGCCGTAATTGTCTTTTATACTAACTGCAAAATTATCCCTGTTGCTGTTTCTTAAAACATCTTGTAAAGTTTTAGATTTTTACCTTCCCTTTTCTTCCTGGATGGAATAGTAGCCTACCCCTGCACCCTAAGTCTGCCTTACTGTTCCTTATTATAATCTTATTGTAATCTAAATTGATTGATTTACTGTCTGAGTTGCTTGACCCGGGACCTGCATTTTCAGAGATATATTCTAAAGATGGGTATATGAATTCATGCTTAGGCAGCAAAATATAAAATCTGATCATCAAAAACTGCAGAGTTCCCTGCACTTCCCACAATATTCTTCATATTCTTGCCCAGGAATTTTCAGTGACTACTGCCATTATGTACTTGGGTTTCCTGCAGATTTTTCGTTTTGGACTTTATGCATAAATCCTTTGTAAGTAATTTTAAGGAGGATTATCTATGTACATGTTCATCTGAAGAATGAAGTTGGGTGGTTTGGAAATGTCCTCTGCACAGCTGTTAGCTGACTTATAGGCTGGATAGAGAAAAATAACATTTCTGCTGCACTGTGAYCGTGTCCAGCGCAAAGATGGGGGCAGTGTTGCCTGCTTCAGCAAGGGCCTAGCAGGCAGAGAGAGCGATGGGGAACAGGCTGCCCAGAGGGATGGTCATATCTCCATCCCTAAAAATATTAAACCTGCTATTGAAAAAGGCCTTGTGCAATCAGGTATTTTTTTTCTGCATTTAACACTGCTTTGAGTTGGGCAGTGGGACTACAGACCCTGGAGATTCCTTCCAGTTTAATTAGCATGTGATTTTGGGGGGCAGGATGATACAGGTAATAATAAAGCCTTAAGTAGTCAGAATATCCTTCCTAGTAAAGTATTTCAAAACAAAATGGAAAAAAAAAAATCCAAAGCAGGGGGCAAAAACACTTTGCCTTTTTGCTGGGATTGTGAAAGAGACCTCTAAACCTTATCTGACGATTGCACTAGAAGAGCAGACTCTTGGAGAAGACAGCCACGTAGGCCAGATGTATGTCAGCTTCCAGCTAACTTAAATCATGGTTTATTCTTAAAAGATTTGTAAAAGCTACAGTGTTCAAGCATGCTCTTATGTAAGATAGCACAAAATATCAGAAGTTCATGAAGGAGCCACTATGTAAATTTGCAAAGGAAATGTGCAGGGTATAAAAGGCTTTCTTTGCAAAGGCYGATCTGTCTATGCAAGTGCTTGTAGTTATTGCATAACTACTATAGAACACCCTTGGAAGAGCTGGTAACACAGTGCTGATAATGTGGTGTTTACCTTAGGGATAGRTTTTCACTGCAAGTCAAACCTTTTGGGTTCTAAGAACTAGTTAAAGAGGCTAAAACGAGAAGCTTGAAATGGAGAATGGCAGATTTGCTTTCCATGGTAGGGCTGATAATACCTGGAAATTCAGAAGGAATTCTGAGCACTGCCAGCATTTATCAAGTGACTAGAGAAAGACTGCCCAGAAAGGCTCAGCTTCAGAAGTCCAGCTTCTGCCTGGGCTGCTGAAAAACAGTGTAGATCCTTAGGTAAAACTCCTCTTCATGTTAACTCAGTCAAGGTTGTGAACGTCTCTGTTTGACCAAGGGGCATCATGGTTTCCTGGTGTTGCTACTCAGAGGAACAAGAAGTTGCCTCTCCTTCCCTCTGAGAAAGGGAACCTGCTGGCCAAAGTTGTTTCCAGCAGGCTAAACCTAGAAAGCGTGTTGAGTTGTCATTGTCTTTTTGAAAGGATATTTGTCATGAATGTTTCAAATAACTTCAGAGACTCTTACAAGATATGTTGAAATCTCTAATTAGAAAAGATGTTTTGTTGCCATGTGTTAAATTCTACAGTAGGTTGTGTATTAAAGGTTTGAGAGTTGTGGGAGGTGTTGCAGTATTTAGCTCATTGTGCTTGACCARTTCTGGAAAAAAACTGAGCCAGTGCAATGAAAGTGGTCTTAAAGTGGKCTTTTGGACAAGATGCCTGGAACTAGAGTTCTCCAGGGCAAGTTCATGATGGAGCTGGTGCAAGATACCTCCATGATACCCACAGTCATTCTCTTGTTGTGTTGCTGTTGCTCTGTGAGGTGCAAGTGGTTTGGGGAGAAAGTCTCAAACGTTGAGCTCAAGCAGTGCTTATGACTCTCATGAAGGTTGAGAGGTATGATCATCGTGACCTAAAACAGCTATGAGACCAACAGCTCTGTTGTGGTCAGAAGAGGCAATGCTGTTTGGGCAGTAGCCAGAGATTCAGAGATGGATCACACAACACTTCTCAGTGCACTGAGACTCAAACACTTCTGCAGCTCAGCRTGGTTTACATTTATTGGCACAGGAAGTTACCGGAGTAACTTGTAAAATGTAGTGTAAAAATGTAACATGGAAAAATACAAAAAGATAAAATTGGGCTATATTCTGAAGGTTAGAGGGGGAAAGTCATAGCATCTCCATTTTTGTGTAACTGGAAGAGTGAGATTAATTTGGAAGGGGAGATTAGAGAGGAGCCTGACAATTAATATACTTCCTCATCCACTGAATGTCACCGTAGATTCATCTGTAATTCTAAAGAAGCTGACTACTAAAATCCTCTGTCCCTGGAGGGATAGTGATTCATAAAACAAAGGATCCTAAATTAGTGTCCAGCCAGCCTAACATATTGTTGTAAAATACTCAAAAGTTAATAGATCACATTTCTCCTTAGTTGTAGGGGCTGCTTTTGGGTAGCACAAGGTTTGAGAGAAAGAAATGCTTCTCTGGGGGCTGATAATAATGTGGAAAATGCTCTGTGAGTGATAACATCACACAGAGCACACTGACTCCCAGGGCAAGAGAGCTTGTGACGGGGGCAAATTTTAATAAATGTTTCTTTGAAAATCTGTAAAGGTTAAGAAATGTCATCTTTTTGTGCTGTTGAAATAATCTGGCATTATCAATGACCTCTTTTTAATATGACTTCTTGTGGTGTTATTTTATGTAAAAAAAGCAGTTGCAAGTTAATATACCTCATTAATTTGCTCTGCAAAATAGTTCTGTTTTTTGTTGTGGTTTAGACATCTCCATCTTAGACTATTATTTTAACACTAGAAAAGTGTTAAAGTATATCTAGTATAACATGCGCACTGGTAAGGTCTCCAATTATTACCAATAATTGTGTAAAATTGTACTGTTTAATGAATGATGGTGGCAGAAATAAAAAGAGCCTGAACCTGCCTTTAAAGAAACTACTGACCCTCTGKTTTTTTTTAGCAGCTTGGACCTGCAATATCATATAAAGAGGTGTTGCTTACATGGTTTAGGATGAGAAAGTTCAGAAGAATGACATTTTATTAAACTGATATGTGCATCTGAAAATTTAAAGAAGTTCAGATTTCAAGTTTTTGACTTTGGCTTTTGACTTGAGTCAATGTCTGTTCTAGGTGAATTGGTTCAGCCTTTCCAAGCTTCCACGAACATGAATTCCTGCATAGAAAGCTTTGTGAAGCATAACATGTCTATGAGGCTTCCTATTAATGTAGCTAGGGGAGCAGGCAAGGGATGCATAAAGGGAAAAGAATCATGACTAACTTGCAATAAAAATAAGAAAAGACTGTAAATTAGTTGTTGAAGTAGAAGGTATCCTTTTCATAGATGTGGAGTAGAAGGGTGAGCTGAGATCTATAAATCTCAAACTTTGGGCATGTCTTTTCAAATTCTGGTATATTTCAAATTCTATATATTAGTCCCAATGAAACCACTTTTCTTTGAATCTTCATGAATGAAGAGTCGCAGTGTTTTTAATTTTGCTCCAAAGAAGRTGTTGCCAATGCTGGGCTCAGCC